TTTTTACACCTTTTTCCTTGAGATGGATTTAGAAATTCCTATTAGCACACAAGCTTTGACAAACATAGATGAATTTGAAGACTTGGAATTAGTGACACAATTTGATGAAAACACACTAAGGGAACTACTCGACGAAGAAGAAGAAGGAGAACCAAATTATGATATCCAAGAAGAAAGAGTAGATTGTGTAATTCAACCAATGGTCATTGACATGGCCCCGAATGTCACGAATATCGAGGAGGGGGAGCTTATCGATGATTTCGAGTGGCTAGAAATGATGGAGTTGTCACATACAGATACAATTGCTTGCCCAGAGGGAGTAAATGAGATTTTTGATGTGGGAGAATTTGCCTTTGATTTTTCTCATTTTTGCAATGCAGCTCCATTGGAAGAAATAGGATATGATGTCTTGTGGCAAGACAGCACCTAATATTAATCTTAGGATATGTGCATGTCTTGAGTTTCTATCTAAGAAATGTCTGAAAAATTGTAGTGTTACTGTTTTAGTTTGATGATAACATGCTTGAAAATTATTCTGTTATGAAATTTCATAGCCATTAATTATCACTCCCTTTCTCTCTATTTTTTTTGTCCTAACTGTCCATTTTTTACCTACCTCAGTCCTGTAAATAGGAAATAATTAAAAGACACTGCCAAGCAAAATACTAAATCTTGGCATGAGATTTCAAGGATTGCTCAATTGTAAAATCTTAGCCTCAATAAGTGCATTCACTTATGCATAAAAGTACTTCCGCGAGGGGGAGGGGAGCGACTGTACTTATGATAATACGATCGAGAGCTGACTTTCAATACTTTCTGCCAACTCGATTTTAATATCAAGTAAGCTCCTTATCACATAAGTAAGAAAGTTCAGCATTTCGATTAGTTAGACGAAATTGCCTAATCGGTTGAACTAGGTGATGGAGAAGGAATAATAAAAAAAAGGGCAGCCCGGTGCACGAAACATTTCGCGTTCACACAGAATTCGAGAAAGGGCTGCACTCGAGGGGTATGATGTAGGCAGTCTATCATAATGCAACCATCAACTGTTAATTTCATGGCTCGAACCCGTGATCTATAAGTCGCACGGAGACAACTTTACCGTTACTCCAAAAATGACAAATATTACCAGATGTGGAAGGGCTCTCTATAATTAGAAATACATCAAACCCGCAAAAATACTTCCGAGTTATTGTGTAACATTAAGGGGTCGTTTAGTATGAGGTATATGAAGGTATAGTGCTGGTATAAAAAATTAATACCACCTTAATACTTTGTTTGGTTAGCAAACATGGTATAAGTTATCTCAGGATTAAAATTAGTACAGAGATAACTTATACCTTGTAGAGGGTGGAGTAATTAGTGCCGGGATAACTTATACTTTCTTCTTAGAAATTATGCAATTGTCATTTTTAATACAACATACCAAACAATGAATAAAAAATAAAACCAAGATAACTAATCTCAGCATAACTTATTCCGGCATAAGCCGTATTCAAACCAAACGACCCCTAAGGGTGCCTTGCCAAACTGTTAGGCCAAGCACATAAACCTCTGCATTTCATGTACGGTAACAAGACTATTTTGTGCTAGTACAATTGCCTAAAAGAAAGGAACACGTTAACTTCCCCGACATTTTCCTAATCAATGACCCCTTTCATGTGGCAATTTCTTTATTAGCCCCAAACCTAACTTACTTAGGGGTGGCAAAATCAGTACCGGTTGAAAATTGAGCAGGTCAAGATATTAACAGAGGCGAGGGTTCATTTGAATTTAGTATTTTTTATACGGAATATAAATTTATAAGTAAATATTTATTATGATTGCAAAAAGTACTAGGTCTAAACCCATAATTCTAAAGTACAATAAGTTCAATTCTAAAAACATTAGATATTAAACTCATAGAGTTTAAATTCTGACCACCTTCGAGGATGGATTAAGTTAAAGTAAGGGTGATGAATGATACCACAGATTTGATCACAAGATTTTCTAGATGTTAACATTGCCCTTGTATAATTCCTTACCTGCTTTTCTGTACAATTTTGAAACCAAATAATTAGGTGCATGATACTTGATGATAGGTTATAATTACGTATTTTAGTCGCTTATACACTTAAATTTACTGGACTTTAATTGAGTTTGAGCTTTAATCCCTAGTGTCTTGCACTAATTGCGTGTTTTATGCTTTGTAGGAGTGATTCTGATCTATGTAGATGTTATGGAATGAATTCAAGTGATTTGGAGCTTTGAAGTTTGAGTAAAAGCCCAAGAAATTAAGCCGGGATCGTATTCGGGGATCAACGGATGATAGAGCAACAAAACGAAGAATCGAGTAGGCATATTGCACACTATCTAGTAAAATGTACATAACCTTTCGCTCAAAACTTCATTTGGGCTCCACAATATATGGTTGGAAATCTAACTCAAAGGACTACAACTTTCATGTTTTATGTTTTCCCGAATTTTAAACGGAACATGGTGAAAAATGCGGTCAAAACCGCGACCGCAGACCTGATGCGGACTGAGGCAGTACACTGGGAAAGTACCGCGGCCGCGGACGTCCAAGCCTAGAAACTTGTCCTTTTTCGCGTAGGAGAAGGTATAATTGTTTGGGCTCGACCCTACTTGGTATATATACATGGAAAAATGGTATTTTAAGGGGAGGAGACCAATTTTTGACACAGATTCGACCTAAGGCGGCAAAGACACAATAGGAGCAAAGCGGGGAATTCTTCTACGAGTTTTTCCTTCCTCTTCCTATTTTTCATTGTTGGTTATGACTTTTAGTATTGTAGTTTTACATACTATTATGAATAGCTAATTTGTTATCTAGGGTTTTGATGGAACCTTTTGTAGGATAAATTCTTGTTATGTTTTTATATAATTGAGCCGTAGTATTTTCTCTATTTGTTCAACTATATTATTCTTGTGGTTGATTGAAGGGCCCTCAATTAGCTATGCCTATTTACTATGTATTACTCGGGAGAGAGTGCATATTTAGGTAGTTGTTGAACAACATCACTCCCGACGCACGTGAGGAATCAATAACCAAGAGTTTAAAGGTGGGATTAGGGATAACGAAACCTAGAGTGCGATCTAAGTGAGCTGTAATTAAAACCAGCTAGCGTAACTCGGGAGAGTATGTCTAGTAAATTGTCGTAATTACTCGGGAGAGAATTACAACACGCAGAGCGCTCATGATCGGTAGAGAATACTTAAGCCAAATTATAGAAGATATAGCGGGAAGGATTCTGACAATTGGGGAAATCATAACTTTAGACCTCCTCAATCTTTTCTCCAACCTGTAGTATCTTTAGTGTTAATTTATTATTTTAATTAGTTAGTTAGTTAAACACAAGAATCTTAATATCTATAAGTTAGGAATTGTTCAAGCTTGTATTCTTGGTGATAGTGAACAAGTGTAGCTAAGTATTAGTTCTCTGTGGGATTCGACTCCGGACTTGTAAACTGGATTATATTTGCAACGACCGCTTTGTCCTTTTTATAAGGCATAGTTGGGCGTGATCAATACTATATTGTCAAGATGATCATGGCATGAAAAACTTGCTTGCCGTACCAGTCTGCACTAAATTAGGTATATGATATATTCAAGCCAATCTAGAAGCTATCCAGGTTGGTTTTGTGGTTAAGGATGGGGGAAACTTCAAAGCTCGAAATAGCTGTAGACATCAACATGTTAATTTGGGTGAATAGACAAAATAGAGATGCAAGAAGAGAGGGATGGGCAAAACATTTGAGTTGGGAAATTGGTGTGATTATTGAATAGATTATTATCAATGTCAGAATCGAATTTAGGATCTAGATTCAGTAGGTTCAAGAGAACTCGGGCACGCGCCTACCTTAATTGAACCAAAAAAGGGGTATGGACGTACCTACAATTACCATATAGAATGAATTGAGTTAGAGAAATATGCTTCCTTTATCGATAGCCGATACCGAACTATCGGAAAATATGTTTCCTTTATTGATAGTCGATACCGAACTATGGGAAAACCCTTTAAAAGGATCAAGAAAAAGGATTGATTGATCTGCGGAATGAGAAACTAGAACAATTGTCTGACTAAAGTCTTACCCTTTCTTTCCTTTTCTTTCCCTTTCCATTGGCATTATCACGCCACCATCACCAGATTCAATAGCTGCTCCTAGCCCGATTCTAAGACCTGAACAGATTTGAAAGTTCAAGCAACCTTGATCAACTATAGGAAAGTACTAGTTTTCCGCAGTGACGAGGACTTTGCGTGAAAGCATTGATTTCCAATGTCATAGTGGCAAAGAAAAAGCAAGAGGAAGCGCTCTTGTTCTTATTGCGCGGACCCCACAATAAAGTGAGAATGATCTAATTATATGTTATATTTATAATTTTTTCCATGTATGTAATACACATAATTCGTGAGAAAATAATGAATTCAATTGAACTCATCCGACTTGCACTAGAACTCATACAACTGCACTATATCCACCTCTGCTCATTGCAAGTCCATGTATTATGTGTACTTTCCGTGTGTATAATAGGCCAGAGAAAGACCTCGAATTTTTTGATATCAAACAATATATTAAGCTCCAATTTCCTGGATGTAATGTGTCTTTATAGTTCTCTAGGAACCTCGTTGCATCTGTACATTTCCTTGAGAAATGAAGCTTCAACCTTTTGCCGAAAACACCAAAAAAAGAGGATCATTACTATTTTTTTAATAATGGTGGTGCCCTAGCCCGCTTGTGTGCACCTCAACTATTCCAGGCTTGCTAGGTTCCACTAACACAAATATCGGATAACTCTATCTACCAAAGCCCAAACACATCAGAATAGATCACTAAGTATCTTTTGTCTGTTGGGACTTAAAATTTTGATCGCTCATGATTTTCACCCACTTCATTGACACTAAGCTACATCCTTTGGTGTGAAAATAAAATTCTAATTCTTCCGTCCGAAACGCAATACGTCTAGATTTTGGGCTTATAGTACATCATACACATTCAACTATGTAAACAACTAATCCAACTACCAATCAAGTTCAAATGCGCACAAAAGTAAGAAAAAAGATGAGCCAAAAATAAATCTTGATTCCCTTCTCATCATTTATCATTCAATCAACTCATCAAGAGCATACAGTTAGTTTGTCAAACTTTGGACTATTCTCAAAAGTAAGGGTAAATTGTCAGGACGGCGGAGAGATGTTGTCACCTTCCAAAACATCTGAAAATAGTGGATGTAAGGGTTGAAGAGAGAAATCTCATCCCAGCTGAACCTCCGGGGAAGTAGGAGATAACATAATAAGATAGAGCAAGGACCTACCAAGAACAGAAAAAGTTAAAACATATTAGTTATGTATTACAACTGATATAATCATGGATGGATAGTAACAACCATTTAACTCTGAGAAAGCGACAACACAGTTGAAAAGACCCAATTATTAATGAAACTAGTAGAAGCAGCATAATATTTCTGTAACAAATCTGTCGAATATTCTTACTCTAGAGATCCCTGTGAAGTATTGGTGTTTATTTTCTTTTCTTGCACTCTTGAAGAAGGATTGTCTGGAGGAAAGCTTTTTGATAAAAAGTTAGAAGAAGCTAAACGCTTGTAAGCAACGGCTCCAAGGCCATTCAATTACCCTTTTTGTGCGAGGTGGCTGTGTTTTGGTGTGGAACCTTTTAGTACTCCCTTTGTTCCAGTTTATGTGAACCTATTTCTTTTTTGGTCCGTTCCAAAAAAGAATGACCCCATTCTAAATTTGGAAACAATTTAACTTAAACTTCCAATTCTACCAATAATGAGAAACTTTATAATCACACAATAGTCTGGCATGTTTAACACCACAAGTTTCAAAAAAATTATAACCATACAAGTCAAACAGGTTCACATAAATTGGAACAGATGGAATATTTCCTTTCCATCAGTTTTGTTCTTTCTTTTCACCTGTTTTCTTTGCATCTAAAGGAATAACAGGCTGTGGGTTGTTGCCAAGAGACTAATCTTACAACTCCTTAGAGAGGAATGGAAATCTCCGGTCATGAGGAAAAAATTCTTTTGTCTGTTCAGATGGTTCTAAAACTTATGCTTTTGAACCTCGCCTAGACTGAGTCACACTTAAATATCTACGGGTGAATACAGTAGGTGATGTTAGATATTGGATTCAGGTATTGGGTCGCTCCATATGGGCTGACCCAACCCATTTGGGAAGAGATAAAATTTTGAAAGAACTTATTAGGAGAAGTTACTACACGATTAAATCTAGTGGTAGCAATTTTTCAAGAACAACAATTTTTCCTTCTCTTTAGAAATGGACCTTCACAAGAAAAACAGATAAAGGAAAATTCCTTCTCTTCTTCTTCTTCCATATCAATGCACAAAGACATTTAGTTCGTTGTAATTTTTACTTTGTGTCCAAGAGATACAAAGTGAAATTAGAAGCAATTTTCTGAGTTAACAGGTAACAAATTCTTGTTCCTCTTACAAAAAATTCTTGTTCCTCTTACTGAATTAATCTTGCGTTGGTACCCGAGCATGTATTATATGTTTCCTAGTGTTAAATTGATTCTCTTGACAAGCACTGCCATTGAAACTGTTGATGTTTATTTTTATTAAATAAAATTTGGAATGCAAGTAAATTCTAATAAAATAGACCTTAGTTTTTTTGGTAAAATGAAATTGAATACGCACCCTTTAAAATAATCCTTGTAAGAGGATGATTCCCGCGGTTGATTGGAGATACTAGAACACTGTAAATACCATTTTATATATGCCTAAATATCACTATTGTTATCTCTTTCTATTAAGAATTGTATTTCCCATGTGAGAACCAAAAGAACAAGAACCTTCAATTATTTTTTTTCATTCTCACCCATGACCCAATTTCTTCTTCTCTTTGATTTGCCTTGGACCCCAAACCCCACTTGTGGGATTCTACTGGGTTGTTGTTGTTTGATTTGCTTTGGAAGAGCTCTAACTTTTGGAGTTTAGAATTGTAGAAATGGACTATAATATTTCGAAATTTATAAGAAAGAAGGTGGGAACAGAGTATTTAAGTCAAAAGTTTTTATGGCAATTAAAAAACCCCATGCTAGCTTTGTACTGTAAACTTGTGGCTTCTGTTTATTCATCAAGCCATGTGTCAGCTGTTTTTCCTTTTAAAAGATAACGATAATAATATATAACTGCGTTTGCACTAATTAAAATTATTTGGTATCATTATGTCAGATGAGATTTGACATGAAGGTCTTTGGAAGCTATAAGACTTTTGCATACACAATATAATTTTTTTAAAATTTAAAGAGCTAAGACCAAATTTTTTAAATATTTAGAAAATTAGTCTTAATACAATTCATTACTTCTTTAGTGAAGAACTTAGTCCAAATCCTAGTTATTCCTTTTATTGATACATTAGAGGTCCTAGGAGGGTCGAATATATATAAATATAAAAATATGACCCTTGAAAATGTAAATTACTCTTTTACAAGTTATTGTCACATATAATAGTCATGAAAAACCATTATAATTGTTTTCTTGTTCCCTTTTGAAAAATGATCGGATGGGAAGAGGTCGAAGTACTCTAAGTAGGAGTGGCGCTCAAAGTCGAGCTAGGGGAAAATGTTGAAGAGTGCATCGTGTATGACCTATTTTTGTAATGATTCAAATCCAGGAATAATGTCCCGAGGATAATGCAAATTTTTTTAAGGAATGAAAGAGCTAAGCGAAAGGAAGAGGAAAACGAAGTTTAAGGAGTTCAAATGGCCCCTAATGCTTCAATACTAAAACAAATTCAATTTTTTTGAATCCAAATGAGCTGAATTATACCATTATAAATTGATTTTGGATTGGAAAGCTTTAAAGAATCGACTAAAATAGCTAAAGCTTCCCAATCCGAAACCAATTTCTAATGAGACAACTCATCTTGTTTTGACTCAAAGAGTTGAATATGTGTAGATATTGAAGCATTAGGGACCGTTTTGAACCTCCCCTTCACTTAGCCCTTTCATCTCTTAAGAAAGTTTGCATCGCCCTCGAGATATTATTCCTGATGATTTCAGGCTCTTGATGTGAATCATTACAGAAATAAGTCCTATGAGACGCACTTTTCTGCATTATCCCCTAGCTCGATTTTCATTGACACTCCCACTTGGAGTACTTCGAGCTCATCCCTCTTCCAACCATTTCTAAAAAGGGAACAAGGATTAATTTAGAACGGTTTTTCATAACCATTCTATGTGACAATATATGTCATGTTAACTCGTAGAAGAACAATTTAAAATTTTAAGGGTCATATTCTTATTTTTATAAATTTTTAATCCTCCTACAATTCTAATACGACAGTAAAAGAGATGATAAAGAAAACAAGACTTCTTTAATTATTTTTATATCAGAATTTGCTTAGACGCTAAAAATATTTCAACAGAAATAAATATCAACAGTTTCAATGGCAATGTGTTTCCAGAGAATTAATTTAGGACTACAGAAAAGATAACACATGCACTGATACCATTGTAAGATCTATCCAGTAACAGAAACATGAACTTGTGTACCTGTTAGAGCAACGGAGTAAAAATCGCTCTTAAGTCCACTTTGAATCTCTTGGAAACAAAATAAAAATTACCACGATTTAAACCTATTTGTGTGTTAATATGGAACAAGAAAAGGAATGTTCTTTTCTGTGTGTTTTATCTATCCGTGAGAAGATGACAAGTCCATTGTTGAAGAGAAGAAAAATAGCAGTTTTTGGAAAAACGGCTTCCACTATACTTAATCGTGTAGTAACTTCTCCTAAAAAGTTAGTTTAAACCCTATCTCTTCCCAAACGGGTCGGTCAGCCCACATGGAGTGACGCAATACCCAAATCCAATATCCAACATCTCTCACTTTGCTCATGATGGGTTGGACCCAAACTATTATCATGGCAACAACACATGAAATCACCTAGTGTTCTTTGCCTCCGCTAGAATTTGAACCTTGGACTTCATAGTTCTCCTCTCACTGCATTGACCACTAGGCCAGACCCTCGGTTTAAGTTTGCTCAACATCTTAAAGGAATATATTCCAAGTTTTTTGGTGTCTTGTAATGTATGTTAGAAAAAGAATCTTCTTTCCAACTAATATAGAACAAAATTGCAATTAATATTGTTAATTGCAACAGTCAGTGTGTCGAGTACTTCAACACATAAAACATATTACACTAAATTGACTCGTGGCTTCCAAAATGTATTCCAGATAAGAAGCTCCAGGATAAAAGGCTTCCTTGCAGTACAAGGCGTGAGTTGGCAGGTCCATGCTTAGTCTTATATTTAGGCAATACACAACGTTTTTTACCCAGATTCTGTTTAGCCCTTCCTATGTTGGTTGTTTCGAAATAGAATAATCACTTCTGTCATTCAAACAATGTAAGCTAAGACTTCGTGTTTACAATTCATGTAGACAAAACTCTTTCTTTTTGACAAGATACTATATAGAAAGCTAAAGATTTATGCAATATGGACAAGTACTTAAGGATTAAGAGATAGCAAACTTCAAACGGACAAGGTGGTCAGAAGTAAAACGCCCAACTGCGGATATGATATTGCCCAAGCATCAAGTATACAGAATGGAAGACATTTAGGAAATCAAAGACCAGATAGTACAGCTCACTAACCAAGGAAAAACAATACTAACTTCCAGTTGAAAGAGTTAGAACCCGTGAAGTGGCTATAAAATGTAGCTTCGAACATGAATGCACTTTCCAAATTAAAACAAACAGCAGAATGGCTACTACAGACAAAACAAATCATGGCTTGGAATACATCTTGTAATATTGAGGACTCGATTTATTGGAGAACTCATAGTAGTATATATTTATCCGCCTCAAAATAAAAATAAAAAACTTGTCCTAGAATCTTATTTTCTGTTGCTGGGTTTCTTTTATTTTTATTTTTTTTGGGGGGTGGGGGTTGGGTTAAAGCATCCTGGAATAGTGACTAGCTAGCTTAAAAGCATTTGCTCAAGTGTTCATCTCATCTTCCACCTATAGAGGCTAAAATGAATTTATTATGGCAGAATCATTAAAGGAAAAAGGGGCAAGAATCCAATACCTGTATAACTGAGAAGAGCACAGAAAGAATATAACTGTGAAGTACCATAGAGACGTAAATCGTCCCTACCATGCTGCCAACAAATAACCCTGTAAAAGGAAGTCTCTGGAAAAGAAAGGACGACTAATGAGATTGCAGAAAATTGAGCTGTCACAAAAGAAGGGAAATGTGTGTTTTCCACAACCAACAAGTTAGACATAAAAGATGGCAAAACCAAGACTGAGGATGACTAAATACCTCTTTTGATGTCATGTGTGTAAGCTGATTCTTTGGACCTTTGAGGGCAAAGAATGAGCCAATAATGAATGCACAACCAATTGTGAAGCAGATAGCAAATTTCTGAGGCATCAGCACCATGACAGGGAGGAACATAGTGAATGCAATGAAGATGAAAAATACACCAGCTGCAAGAAATAAACCAAAGTACATAAGGGACTTCCCCGAGGGAACATTGCTGGTCGCGGAACTGAAGCTTCCTGGTAAATCTCTTACTCCTTTAGAAACCCTACGCAGAAAAAGGAAAAGTTAACAAATATCATCAGCAAGTGAGCAATACAACTGAAGACACCAGGTTTAAATATTGCAATTAGATTAAAACACTCAAGACCGACCATATTCATCACTTCTTCAATTGTAATATGTAAAGCCTATTGCCAAAATTACCATATACGTGCTACCTGTCATGGGCTGCTTTCCAGACATGCCCCATGACCCCTTGGCCGCGCCCCATGGCGGCCTAGCAAGCCTTACAATGCCTAGCGCCATGGTCGGCCCCGTGGTCTTGGCTGCGCCAAGTGACAAGCGCGCATGTGCCTCTGTCGCCCCACCGATGCCTCTCGCCAGCGCCCAAGGGCTGGCCAATGACAACAGCGCCGCGCGCCCTGACAATGCCGCGCGCGCAGATCCTGATGCCTCGCCAGCGCCCAGCTGCAGGCCCATTCCAGCAGCGCCTCGCGCACAGACCCTGATGCCAAGCACCAGTGCCCAGCCTCAGGCCAGCACATCAAGTGTCGCGCGCGCCCACAGCAACGCGCGCGCAGACCCGCAAGACAAAGATGCTGCCATCGGACTTAGTTTTTCCTTGTAATAATCTAAGTCCTTTTCATTGTAATCATAGACTAGTTTTCATCATTTTCATTTCAGTGTGCTTCTACAGCTTTATTAGGACTAGTCTTGTAATGTTGGTTTATTTTTTTTAAGCATTATTAAGGGGGACCAAACAATCAAACATTTTCAAGCAAGCATTTTCTGGTGTCTCTCCCCCTCGACACCGCATCATTGTAATCAGCATTTTCATTCATCAATAAAATCATCATCATCATTCAAAACTCATTTCTCTCTCAGCTTCCGCAATTGCTCGCGACATTGGTTTTCCCGCACGGCACTGACAATCTAGTCTAGCGTGCGGAGGGTACCTCATTGGCGGAAAGCAACCGCACTGACATCGGTTGCTTAGCCTTACGTTGCCCTTCCAAAGAACATCAGGAAGGCGTTGCGTAACAGTTGGTATCAGAGCCTAGGCTCGACATCGGACGAGGGAACATTTGCCATCATCACCATTTCTGACCATGGTGAATCATGGGGAACGTCTAGCATCCCTAGAAGAGACGGTTGACCGATTACGACCCATCGTGCATACGGTGCCTGATCAAAACAACAACCTAGTGTAAAGGTTGGACGACCTGGACCGCCGAATGCGGCAGGCCGAAAATGACATTGCAAACATTAGTCGTGACTCTGACGACGACCGACAAACGGCAGCCATCGAAACTGCCAATATTCATGGCAAATTTGAGGACCTCCAACAGGAGCNAAAAACTCCATCCTGTTGGAAGATCCACCCAGTCTTCCATGTCAGCCGCATGAAATCATTGCGTCGCCACAACAGCAAGCTCACAGAACAGAGGGGCGCAGACCTCCCATCCAACAACCATCAGAAACATCAT